AATAGTCCTACTACTTACCTAGCTACAACATGTTTTTTTTAATTTATATGTATAAACATGGCTGCTGAAATGACCGTAGTAGAACCAATAACTCCCTCGTAGAACTAGCACTAGCTACCTAACCTAGGCCTAGTCCTATCTCATGAATAGGATCTCCTCTCCGTGGAATGCCGTCCTTGAAGTGCTGAATATTCTGAGATTCTGTATAAATCACATCTTGGCCTAAATTAGTTTATAATTAAACCAGACTGCTACTAGTTCGTTATGTATGGTAAACTAGGCCTAGTTCTAGCAAGGGCCTGAGTCGACGACGTACGAGAAAAATTGTCGCTCCACAGGCGGGCCAATGATAAATCAGCATACTAGGCCTAGCTAGCTATAAAACGGAAACTCATGGAAAAAGACTCGAAATGAAAAGTCAAAACAAATTTTCATTTAGTAATAATACTATCTAATAGTAACACATGGAAGTCAGTAGCTCACCTAGGCCTAAAATTATCAAATTTAGTGAAATAAAAAAAAAACAAAAACAAAAACAAACAAAAAATGTGGAGGCAGGTACCTAACATAACATAAAACTAAAAAGGATCTGCTGAGTGTCCAGTAATTTTCGTAACGTCGTAACATTCTGCATTCGTAAACTTTTGTATTTTCTTGGAAATTTTAATGAGCGTTGATCGGTAGTCGGCTCGTGATCAAAGGTGATTACTGGTACTGACTGGTACCGAGATTCACAGTCAAAATTCATTCCAATATTTTGTGAATGGGGATTGTCACAAGTCTATTTAGAATTGTTGTGCCAAAGAAATAAGAATAATTTTGCTATCTTTTGTATTATCATGAATTAGTGTTACATTCCATTTACTACTTTTGTTCTAAAGGAATGACCGCAACATTTTAATTCTGCTTTGGACAATATTTTGTGTATTTGGACTGATACAACGTTACTCCTCATTCACAAACTATTGTTCCCCACTCCCCCCTCAAAAAAAATCCCCCAAAAAACCCCACAATTTTTTTGTTCTGTTAATAGGACAATAGATTGTGAATGAAGATTGTTATAATATCACTTATCCTTACTTAAAAAAAAAAACTATTGTCCCAATGTAGTGAGCACATTTTTGGTTCGCAGGAATTATTTGCAATTTGGTAGTAACAATCTACATTTTACATAAATATCTAATTTCCTGCACATTTTAAGAGCTACTTAGAGAATATATCAATTGTATGATGCATGTGATAAAATAACTTCATAATTCTGTCTTCTGTTTCATTACTTCTTCACCAACTACATCTATTATTCTTGTACTTTTTTCCCTCTAGAAAACTCCCAGCATGCTCCTTTACATTTGACCTCTGACATGTCTGGATTTCACCTGGACCTAGGTTTGTATTTACTCACTATTTACTCACATATTTTTATGCACTCCATATTTTTGGTTGGCTGATATTTTTACCATTTATCTGTCTGTACAATTTATGTGTGCATAAGTTCAGTGTAGTAGCAGGTGGTGGTTGTATGTATTTGCTATAAGAATGTATTGTACTGTACCATATTTGTGAAAGTGATACCATAAGACCTTGAATAGAAGCCCAATGGGCTTAATTTTGAGAAGAAGCCCATCTCGAATTGAGGCCCCTCTTTAGTTTGCAAAAGTAGCCTCGAAAAGAAGCCCATCTCAAAAATAAGCCCATGGGCTTCTTTTTAAGATAGCATGGGCTTTTTTTCGAGATAGTACAGTGCATACACTCTAGATAAATTTCAAAGAAACAAAATAAATTAAAAACATGCTTGGTTTACACAGTAGTTTAGGTGATTTAATGCCAGTTAATACACTCCATGATACAGATTGATGTTACAGAGGCCCTATTTATTGTTTTATAGTAGTAATTCCCAAAATTTACAGCATTCATTTTGAAAGAAGCCCCCATCTTTACTCTGCAAAAGTTGCTTCAAAAGAAGCCCATCTCGAAAAAGAAGCCCATTCACAGTTGGAAAAAAAAAAATAAAAGAAGCACAGGGCTTCAATTTCAGGTTTTACTGTATTCTACATGTTGAAAAATATTATTTCAATAATTGGTTTCAGTTAAATCGATGGCTGGTAGTTTATTTATTTGTTTAAATTTTTTACTAATTTTTTGATAAATTATTTTTCCATTTGTGTATTTATATATTTATTAACTTAAATATTTAGGTTGGCACAGTCAATATAAGAGAACAACTTATTTTCCCATCTCCCTTCTGATGAGAGGAGAGAACAATTTTTTCTTATAAATACAGTCATTATTATTACTGCTTTGTACCTTATTCGTTCCATAATACTGAAAGTTGCTTTTATGTGTTGTTTGTTCATTGTTCACAGTCCAATAAGTTATTGAGTGTTCATGGTTAAGTTTTTATATTTTCTCATATTAAGCATTTGTATTTCTGTATTATTTTAAATAGACAATAAAAGAGCATTATAATAATTTACATATTTGTCTAACTTGTCTAATATCAATCTGATATTCTCTCTCAGGATACAGTTATACTATAGCAAACAATGAGATAAAAATTTAATATTTTGTAAATGCTTTTTAGGTTCCCGTGGTGACATGAACGAAATGTTATCAGCTGCCACCCGTGTTGGGAATGCAATGTCTTCGTTGGTGTCAAAGGTTGCTGTGAATTGTGAGTATATTTGTTTATCACAAATTTAAATTTATCACAAAAGTTTCGATAGCTAAACCGTGGTCCGCAATTAAAACATGCATTTCATACCTTGAGCTTAAACAAGATAAAAGATAACATTAATTATATCCAATAAAAATGAAAAAATTACAAAGCTTACATAGAAACTTTGTGCAATGCAAACAAACCACATTAAATTTGATCAAGAGGAAAAAGTTCTTACATCAAATTTTCATAAATATCCATTGACAAAAAGACGTTAAAAATGTTAAATTATAATAAGGTCTGTAATATTTAATAACTAGAAACACAAGATGGGCCAATGGCAGTGCCAAAAAATTCCAAGACAGTGGTGCAAGGTTTCCAATTAGAGGTCTACAGTATGTTCCCCAACAGTGGTCTAAATTCACCTCAGCCCAACCGTGTTTGGAGGAAATTTTTTAGAGTACTTAAGCACCTCTGGATGGCTGGAAATGGCACTCTCAGACTGTAAATATGCTTTTTTTAAAGCAGCGTTCTCCAACGAAATAATTGGTTTCTTCCACAGTGGGGTTCTGATCTAAGGAGGAATCCTGTACCCCTTGGTTACCCCACTGGCGCCACCACTGAGTAGATTAGTGAGAGAATTGAACTGTATATCAAGGTTATGTAAAAATCTCCATGGTTGGGCACACGCAAGGTGGCTATCGTCAGTTCTCGCAAACTCAGCCTAACTGCTGGTTTCTAAATAATTGGTTGAGCATGTAATTGAATTTAGAGGGTGATTGTCTGGTCTTATTAACAGATTTTTTGAATTTTCTTGATTTTCTCCATTTTTTTAACTACTTTTTTCCATTCCCACAGGTGATGGTCTCGCGCAGTATTCATGATTATTGGCGGGTATTGTGGCGAAGAAACAAGAAACTTTGCTGATGAAACGCAATGATTTGGAACTTCTGAATTTATAGAATTGAAATTATGACATTCCAAAATGAATGAAATTTAAGAGAAGACTTGTTTTTAGAGATATATTTAGTTTGTGTAACTAAACAGTACTGAATTCAAGAGGTGGAGAATTTTAAAAGTTTTGGTGTCCAATGTTCAAAGCAGTTACTCAACAGATCAGGTATGTGTGTGTGTGTGTGCGTGTGTATATATATGTGTTTCCACTATGCCGAGGCCCACCTTTTTCTTAGAAACTTCAATTCACAATTACTTTTATGCAGAGAATCTGTCCTTGACATGTGCAATATGGTTATAAGCACCTTGAGTAATTTCATTTCAATATTTTTTATGTTCCTCTACATCAATATTTATTACTTCGTCACAGATATGACATTTTTTAAATGTGTATTTATAGTATAATTATCCAAAAACAGATTTATCTAATCTTTAATAAAATAATCCCATATCGTTTTAGCTTATTATCACTTTTAATTAGTTGAATGTAATGTCATAGGCGTTAATAATTTTGATAGCTTTTTTTTTTTTTCAAATATGGCACAATTATTATAATCTAACTTACCTGTAGAAAGATGAAGATAGATGTGTCTGTCTGTCATCAATATTTTAAGTTATTGTTAAAAAAACAATAATTGTATATCATAATTTAAGACTTAAGAAATGATGTGATAATGGTAAACGTAAGAGAATAACCCGTAATTCGCAGCGTCATTGTGCTGAATTGCGTATGGGCGTGGTCCGTGACTACCTATCGGCCGTATAGATGCGCTTATAGTAGCTACATGTTCACATCATTCCACAACGACAGGGGCTGAAATATACCATAGCATCGGGGTAATCCCTACTCCAAAAGAAAGATGCAATGGGTTCTTCAAAGTGCACAGATGTGATACACTGGACCTCCATTTTAAGTCCTTATCCAAGAAGAATTGGTTCTACCAACCGAAACCTGTGCGTGGAGCGGCTGGTACCAGCGCCAATGTTATGGCTGTAGTTAGCGGTGCCCCTGTCTTACCACTCAGCCACTTAACCAGGAATAGTATTACATGGGATGGTTATTTTATTTCTATTGACACCTATTATGTATCCATAGAAATATTTTTTATTACTTTATTAAATTTTGATGTGCATGTTTTGTTGTTATTATGTTGTACACCTTTGACGCATTGTATTGAAAATAAAAATACTAGATGCTCATTTGTATGTATCTATTGTTTGATTATTCTGATGAATATAAATACTTCAGCAAACAATAGAAAAAAGTAGGTCCCTAGTGGATTTTAACAACAGTACTTTACAGGCCAACTTATGTTTTAGAATATACAGTATTGTATAATGTTCGTAAAAAATCGCAAAACATTATGTTAAAACATAGGTCAGGTTCGCACGAGAACCCTAGTATCCGGATCGGGAACTAACCGTTAGCGCTAGCCGTTAGCATGTGAAAACACCCGATCGGATAACGCTAACCGATTACCAGGAACCGGATACGCTAACGGTTAGCAAGTTCAGCTTGTACATGTTTTCCATTTCCAGATTCCTATTGGCCAGTGATTCGATCATCATCTTCTTGTATCAGGATGGAGGATTTTCTTGTATGAACGCACAGGTGAGCGCGTATATTTGTGATCTGGATCTCGCTAACCGTTAGCTGCCGTGTGTGAGCATAGCCATTGCCCATTTGAAAGTTACCAACTGCCAATAAGACATACTTAAAACACAATTATCAATGCTCAAAAATTAAAGCTAAGGTAGAAACTTATTCCTCCATGGTTATACTGTGCAGTAATAGGGATCCCAAGTCTCCCGGAATATACGGGAGTCTCCTGGAAATCTGGACGGTTTCCCGCAAGCAAGCATCTCCCAGAAATTAACCCGCATCTTGCAAATATGTGCACGTTTTCACTGCTTTCTTATCGATTGTCTCACTGAAATCATTGCCATTGTGTATCACAATAGTAGAGTCATTTTCATGAGATCCGTGACTAATTGTAGGATATACCCTTTTTTCTCGATGTATTTGGCAAGATGGACCAATTTAGATAAAATATAGCTCCTATATACCTCCCAGATATGGGGGAAAAGTCCCGTTTGGGGGCGTTTTTCAAAATGGACGCTCGTATCTTGATAACCACTGGTCAGAGAGACTTGATTTTGGTCTCAAATTATTCAAAATATGCATGTTCTTATTTGTTGTAAATACAACTTTTTATCCAAAAAAAAAAAATGCGATTTTTGAAAGCTTGACCTTTGACCTTGTATTGTCATATCTCGGCATAGTTGCCATTTCTGGCATAATTGTGCTTTTTGGCATAATTATGCTTTTTGGCATAATTTGGAGGCCGCGGCATAATCAAGGCGTTTTTAGCATAATTTCATGTTTTGAAAAACTAAAAAATATATCCCAGGAAGAATATTTTTTTTTCTTAAAATTTTGGGCAATCTCGCACATATCATCTCGTACGTGTATCACCTCGTACACATAATGGTAACATGTAAGAGAACCTCGATTTTACGTACGGTATGGGACCGGAGGGCGTACGTAGATCGAGGGATTCGTAAAATAGAGGTTGGGTTAAATTTGTGGTAACCTTTTGACCTAATATGTACGTAACGCTCAATATACGTAGGTATGAACGAACGATGTTACCTAGCTAGGCTAGACCAAGCCTCTAGGCCTACGAATAAAACCATGTGTTTAGTGTTTTTATTTATCACTTTACGATGTCATAATAAAGTGTTCAAATAAAACGTGTGTCTAGTGTATTAATTCATCCCTTTATATCATTTATTGCTGCGAAGCAGCCAATTCATATTCTTGACAGCAATTTGACCTCTGAAAGGTCATTGTTTGTCAAAAAACGACTACCTAAGACGACTGAAAAGCGGAGTTTCCTTCTTTCGTTCTGCCCGGTAAAATCAATTACTTTAGGCGACGTTTGTAGACTAACCTACTCTTACCAACGTCCGCATGTCGCGCTAGCCTTATCCTACTCTAGGCCTAGACTAGTTAGGATGGTATAGATAGGCCATGGAGTTATAATTATTTTATAACTCCATGGTATAGGCCAAGCCTTGAAGGGACGAAGGCCCCAATGAAAAACAACGTCGCTCTTTGATAGCTAACATTGTCTATTTCACATCACAATAATTCATTAATATTAGACCTATAGTTGCTTTTTGAATTGTACTCCACAAATCTCAGCCGATACCTCGCACAACTGCACTGGCTAACGTCTCTATCTATTGTCGTGACGTCACGGCTCGCTGGCTCACACTCTTGTGATATGTCTCGCACTTGTGATCAAATAACACGCTGGCTCGCATTTTGGCAACACTCTTTGGCAGTTGACTCGCCCCTAGAAAACCCGCCCTTGGAAACTTGCCCCATAAAAAAATGTACACTTCCTAGACCATGCAGTCTTCAAAATAAAAATTGTAACCTTTGGTAATCAACTACATTTTCCACATACATAGACAAATTTCAATAAAGACAGGAAACTTAGATGTGTATAAGAGACAGACTATAGACACTTTTTGACAAAAATGAAAAATTACGAGTTTGTTACTCAATGAGAAGTGTTCTAATATAGACAATGGGTCGTGCTCATATTATTTGTTATAGTTTTATTATTCATTATTTTCACTTGACTCGCATAAATAATTTTGTTCGAAGAACATTTATATGCAGTTGTACTTCGCAGCACTTCACTTGCAATTTGCAATTTCTAGTTTAACTAAAGAACATGACAATATTGTAAGATTACCTATACGATAAAGGTATACAGTAACTTGGGAATTCCCCTTCATGCCTATTTTAAACAACAGAGCTGTGGTGTTGTCTGGGCCTGTTGAGACACACTAAACCCATGTGCGCTGCACTGGGCGAGCCAGCCAATTAGCGTTCGTGTATGTGAAACAGCAACCATGTGCACTGCACTGGGCGAGCCAACCAATTAGCGTTCGTGTACGAAACTATGCCTACTCAGTTTCGTGTAGAAAATTCGACCAGACAAGTGTTTCCATGGTTTGCCATACGAAGCTAAGGAGGAAAGCAATTATTTTGAGCACTATCGGTAGTTGTTCATCTCACTCAGTTCATGTGGTTTTAGATTATAACAACCCGGTATTAGACTCAATCAACGTTGCTGTTTAATGAAAATACGTTGCATTATGGTTT